GTAAGTGTGAATTTTGCAATTCTTCTTCTTCTTGTTTTAACTAGGATTTTGCAATGATATACACTAACTTTAATATAGGCCCATTACGAACGTCACATGTAGCATCAACCATGGCAAGCCATTTTGACATTTAACCTACAAAACGTACTAGTATCTATTTTCATGCTTCTAGTGCTTGTTCTTTACATATGAGAACTTCGTTACATGTGGGTTTTTGTACATTAAGTCTTATTGATATTAAATGAATACTAGAATATTTAAGTTATTTATTAGATGCTAACTTACTGTTTCACATATTCTATACTTTTGTAATTATTTTTTTATATTTTGTAATTAATTCTGCTAAACAATTCGTATCTTACTGGTTGTTACTTTTTAAACTCATATTCTGTCATGACTAGTCAAAAACGGCCGCTGTACAGTTCAATTAAAAGTTATTAGTGAATATTTGAAATAAGTAATAGCATATAATAAGTGTGTACTAGTACTTGCTGAATTGAGTTACTAATGAATAAGTACTAAAGTCTAATGAATAAATTCTTGTATTTAATAAATAAAGAATTGGCATCTATGTACGTTGTAAAAGAGTATCTACTAAGTAGTATATAATGATTAAGTACTAGTATTTAATGTGTAAAAATTTTGTTTTAAAAGTTCCTAGTTCCCAATGAACTACTTGAACATAAAAATTAGTAACATACTAGTCTAAAATGAAGAGTAGATATCTCAATGACAGATCTCCATAGAGGTCAATGGCGGAAATGTGAAATTAATTATTAATTTATTATTAATAAGTAGTAGTATATAATGATTTAGTATTAATATACATTAATCGGTGCTACACTGTAAACAAATTATGACAAAAAGTCATGACAACAACTATTTTGTTACCTTTTTAAACTAATTTTAATCAGGTTTCAACAAATATTTTAGTTATACAAAGTTGAACACTTTAATGTACAATTCATGCTATTAATAATCCATTAACTAAGACGTTCAGCTCAATAAACTACCAATTAGCTGTTTATTAATAGTCATTAAGGTAATAGTTAGGTTTAGGTATTGGGTAGGATTAGGGATGTCTAACAAGATCATACTTTTATATTTGCTAATAAACAGTTAATATTTTAATAATAAGCAGGTAATAAGCCAGTAGTAAATGGTGTGAATTGACACTTAAACTAAAGTGTTCCCCAAAATTGTTTTAGTCAGTTTACTGATGTAAGTTTTGATTCAGATCAGTTGATTCAATTAAAAATCGGCAGCAAGATTTTTTTTACAGTATAATATCTCATAAAGAATATTAGTAATGTACATTTTAAAAAGATACTAGTAACTTAAAGTGATAGAAATGAAAATTGTCATCATTTACTAACAGTTTGAGTTTCTTCTGGTGAATATAAAAATTGATTATTTAAGAGAGTTGTAAGCTTTGACTTCAATAGTATTTGTTATTCCTACAATGAAAGTCAATGGTTACAGGTTTTCAGCTTTCCTCAAAGTATCTTCCTTTCTGTTCAATAGAAGAAAGGAACTCCTATAGATGTTTAAACAATAAAAGGAGAGTAAATAATGATTACATTTAAATTTTTGGCACTACTTTGTGAAAAGTAACCATTACTGAACAAAAAATTGGAAATAATCATTTATTGGACATATAATCCTAATCCTACCAAATGCCAAAACCTAACTATTACCTTAATAACTGTTAATAAGCAGCTAAAGCATGTTTAAAACATCTAGCTTGTTTGTGCATTACCCCAAGTTGTGATTAAGCAGATATTTATTTCAATCCAATAGAACCCTCAGCTGGTGGCCCGTCTCGAAAAAATTAAAGCAAAACTGGCCAATGAAGAATATAAGAGAATAACACGGAACGTAAATCCACAGGTGAGCATTCGTCTACAGCCAAATATATCCTTAACATTTTTCAGTCTGTCAGTAGATTTCTTAATATGCTGTTTTACTCAACAGGAAATGAATCAACATGGAACTTTAGCAGACTTTGGAAGACAAGGTCAGGATGTTCCCCTTTCTTTGCTTATTAGTAATCTGTTTCCTCTGTGTTGTTGTTCATCTTACTTGTCATTTGTGGTTTGCAGTACGCTCCGTGAAGGCTGTTGTTGTTACTGTATTCAATTTCCTGGTAACTGTAATTGCAGCATTTGCCTGTTCATATCTGGGCAGCCAGTATATCTTCACTGAGACGACAGCAGTAAGTTCACATTTAAATCACTGCAGAGTCAAGAAGTGTTTTAAATACCTATTCTAAAATACGCATAATGTCTCTGTATTGTTTTTTTTTATTTCAGAGAGTAATAGCTGCCGTTATTGCAGCATCTGTTGTCGGCCTTGCTGAGCTCTATGTTCTGGTCCGGACTATGGAAGGAGATCTTGGAGAGCCCTAATAGTGACTAATATTATTAAATATTTCCAGTTTTTGTTGTTGTTAACTTGTTTCACCATACAACTGTTTTAGTTTCTTGTTTTCTTCCGAATCAAAACCCTGCAGCTTAACAAATCAATCTTGATCTAAAAATTTTATCTAAAAGATCACATTTATTAGTAAAATAAATTACACACACACACACCAGACTATACATTATTCATATTACTGTCTAGTTTTTCCACAATTCTAGTGTTTGTATTTATTTTTTATTCCTTCATGGACATTATTTCTTTAAAGCGACATGATTGTAAATGATTTGTGCTTGGATGTTTATTGTGACTGACTCCCTAGAAGTAGTGTGGAAAAATGTGATTAATAAAATAATAAAAGAATAAAAGAATGCTTAAGTCAACAGCATTTAAAAGAAAAAAGGGAACATTTATTAAATCACACACCCTGGCAATGCTCACTTTGATAGTCCAGCTTTGTTGAACCAGGTTTACAGCATTTGCTGTTAAAATGCAGATCCAGTGCTTAATGTATATTGTGTACTGTACGTTCTGCACATGCAGCTGTGTAGTTGAGCTTTGGCAAAGTCTCAAACCAGTAAAAAAGACAACCAGAAACGTGCAACACAAAATGGCTTTTAAAGCCATGCTCATGCCACTGAAAATTATAGAACAAAAGGCAAAACAGTTATAAAAAAACTAAAACAAATGTGCCTATCTGAGAACAAAAGATATATTGTAACTTATTTCCTGTACATATCTATTTCTATCATTCATTAGTAACTATGCAATTCAATAACAGTCTTTATCTTTTTAAAATGTCTCCACAATCCACTGAGTTGAAGATGTTAATTAAACCCCAAAATGGAAGTTCTGCTATCATTTACTCGCCTTCAAAATAAGACGTCTTCTGACTTAGAAATACAAGAGCATGAAGAAATCTGAGTGACTTCTGTCCCTCCATTGAAAGTCTATTCATTCAGCATTTTTATACTCGTCATTCAGAAATAGATTGACAAAAAACTTTTAATCAACAAACCTGTTTGTTGTGCAAGATAATGTTTGAGGGGAAAAACAACAAAATTAACAAAGAAATGCCGCCCAAATTTAAAATAAAGTAGTATAAAGCCCCTGGACAAATAAACGACACTATTTGCATTTTCGCATTTGAAAACATGTTGATCTGAATCCCACCATTACATTCTAATATGTGCACATTGCATTACAAACCAATCACATACGTTTCCGTGCAGATTATGAATGCAGTAGCCAATAAGAAGAGGCAATTAGTGAGCGCCGAGAAAACCTTGAGTTTGGTGAGTGCGCGTGCTCACTGACTGAATTTTGCGCGCCTGTGTTTCTCATCATAAACGAACAGAAATAAAGTAAGTAGAAAATTGAACTTAAGGTTTTTTTTTTTTGTTTTTTTTTGGATAACGTGTGTTACTAATGTAATTGACCGACGCGTTTTTTAAAAGAAAAGGCGTGAAAACGCCTGAAAAAGCGTGCTGACGAGATGAGCATGCTGACTAAGTAACGTAGGTCTACCTATATTTTACTGTGCCTATTCGTGGATATTAATGGTAATTATAAATATAACGTATCAAGAGCAACTTTATTGTTATCGCACTTTTAGGCTACTAGTTCCTTTGAAATTGATTAATTTGATGGTAATTATATTTTTTTGTTTACTGTTATTCTGATTTATGTAGGCTAATGGGCTACAGTATATGCACAGCTAGTGTTTTTCAGCCAACTGTAAACCTCCAGTGAAAGGTTAATGTGACTATTTTAAATTTAAGGTTCCTACACCATCGATATCATAATATAATTAAAATACAATCAGTTAAATAAACTTAAGCATCCGTTTAGTTGTTCAAGCATAACACAAGACGATAGACCGTGTAAACTTTTATCAGTGGCAGCAGGCTATAGCGCAGAAATTCAATTGAAAATACTGGCATCAAATAAAATTTCATATTTTAAAGAGATGGCATGGAAAAAAATGGAATTTAATGCAGTGCTTTTTGTCCGGTGTGAGACCCACTTTATATTGTATATCTATCAGGCTGTGAAGATCACTTATTTTTTAAAGAAATCAGATCTTAAACATGGCGATTTTTTAATGGAAAGACAGTTCACCAGGAGCCATTAGGCTGGCTTTCTGAAAATTAAAAATCTGTGTGCATATACCCCATTGGTTGTTTTAGTAACGATAACAATAATTAATCAGTAAGGCAATTTTAGCAATGAATGAAACGATAATAGAAAGTGTCCTTATGAAGGTTAAAATGCCCTGGAAATCAATTCCAGGGGGCAAATATTGCCCCTTAATAGAAAAATAAATTTCTGACCCTGGCCAGAACAAACATCACGTGACATGCAAGAATGAACCTCATTGGTTGTCTTGTGTTGAGCAAGCATTTTTGAGCTTCCATGACCACATCTATGTAAATAAAATCTTAAGAGTAAATGTCAGGATTTGGGGTAAATCAGTTTTCATTAAAGGGACAGAAACCTGTCAGATAAATGAAAGTCTCACAATTCTGAAAAAAACATGAGCATGAGTAAATAATCACAGAACTTCTGTAGTGAACCAGCCCTTTAACTTCATGCTATTTATTAATAAACCAGGGCTCACAATTTCTATAAAGAGCGTGCCACACACAAAGACTGCATAAATAGTCGATGACCTTTTCTTGACTAAAATGCAACAGCAGAAGCGTCTGTCTGGCATGGGACATATTCCAACCCAAACCTTTAGTAACTACAGTTCAGTTTTGTCCAGCAGAGGGTAGTGCAGAGGCTGAGACCTCACTCGAACTTGCGCAAGTGGTTATATAGTGACTGGACGTAAGTAAAGACACACATGGGGTCTGGCTTTCTGCCCATCACCATCATGTCCTCCACTTCAATCAGCCTATCACAGCCAGCTTTCTTCCTGGAAATACAGAGAGAAACAGATTTAATAGGGCTGGACTTGTGCGGCTGTTTCTGGTCATCCTGCATATCTGTTGACTATTAATACGAGCAGTGTAATACATATGTTCAGATGACGTCGACAGTGTAGTTTTTGGTCTGTTGGAATATTTCAGGATGTGGGAATTGGAACACAGGGATGATGTCATTCTCCAGGCTGTCAGGTCTGAGTAGCCGAGTAGGGAAAGGGGAGGTTTTTTTGAGCTCCGCAGGGATTTGCTGGCATGCTTTACTGGTTTAAAGTGCAGGTTACGGACACTCTAGACTCAGACACATCGGAAACTAAGTAACTTTATCTCATGTGGCGTGCTGTGAGGTGATGTGCAGCACAACTGCGGATGATTTGTGTCAACTTTTATTTTAGATTCATTCTGTTCTGCTCGTTGGGTCGGGTCATGTTGAGTTTGCTTCTCAACTGTCCGGTCTGCTCCTATTAAAAGGCTTTTAATACTTTATTAGCGCTTTTAAATGAAAATGAATCTGCTGTCGGTATGTTGGTATGTCATTCTAAACTTGTATGTTGATTTGTTTTTTCCATTAAATGTAAAAGGAGATTTTTGAAGCATCTTTACTAAGCAGTTTTCATACACAAATGTTGTAGGACATTATTTTTGTTGCCTTTTGACAAGCTTTATGTTTTTTTGAGTACATGGTTTCTCAGTATTGGGTTGCAGTAGGGCATCCGCTGCATAAAACATACGCTGGAATAGTTGGTGGTTCATTCCGTTATGGTGACCCCTGATAAATAAGGGACTAAGCCCAAGGAAAATGAATGAATGAGTACATGGTACAAGTCAGTCAATAACAAAAAAGATGTAATGTTGTCAGACATGTTTATATTAACTTTTAGAAAACCAAATAGTAGTTTTTTTTGTGAGAAGTCTGAAAAAAAGGTGGAATAACCAAAATCTTAACTACTAACTAATTAAACTTTTTTATGAATTGTATATGCAAAAGTTAAATGCTCTAAATTATATTTTTGCTTGGAATTTGCAAGGAAGGTTACAGGATATTATTATATATTTTATTATAAAAATATTAAACAATTTAATCATACACACATAAATATTATTTTTAAACAAATAATTTATTATTCATTCATTTTCCTTCAGCTTAGTCTCTTTATTCATCAGGGGTCGCCACAGCGGAATGAACCGCCAACTTATCCAACATATGTTTTACACAGCAGATGCCCTTCCAGTACCAGGAAACACCCACACACTTTAACATTCACACACATACACTCAGGGGCATTTTTAGTGATTTAGGGGCCCTAAGCAATTCTCAGCCCACAAGTTTGTACTTTAATTTATTCTTAATTGATTGATTTATTTATTATAGTAAACTTAAATTTTTTTAGACCCTCGTCATACAAAATATGTTAGAAAATGATGCTATATATAATTTATAGGAATCATTTATACTTCTAGGTATTTATTTGGGGGCTCTTAGATTAGATTAAGGCTCTTAATTCAGCCCCAAGAAAAACACTACGGGCAATTTCATTCATTCATTTTCTTTTCAGCTTAATCCCTTTATTAATCAGGGGACGCCACAGCGGAATGAAATGCCAACTTATCCAGCATATGTTTTACGCAGCAGATGCCCAGCTGCAACTCATCACTGGGAAACACCCATACCCTCTTGTATTCACACACACTAATACACTACAGCCAATAGAGTTTATTCAATTCACCTATAGCGCATGTCTTTGGACTGTGGGGGAAACCGGAGCACCAGGCGGAAACCTACACCAACACGGGCAAACTCCACACAGAAATGGCAACTGGTCCAGCCGGGACTTGAACCTGCGACCTTCTTGCTATGAGGTGACAGTGCTAACCACTGAGCCACCGTGTCATCTTAATTTATTAATCTACTGTAGTCAATAAACAGTTGTCTCATGATTCATTTTCATTTATTAAAGCTTTTAAATCGCTTTTGAAGCTGAAAATGTAACTCTGCAGTTTAACAAAGTGACTTTTACTGACTTCTTCACACAGTCTGAAACTATTTAATTTATAAAAAATAAAATATATGAAAAAACTTTTAATAATCTCTACACTAAGAGAAAAAGTACAAGTAGCTCATCACGCTTTTAGTGCCATAATTTACATGACCAACCCAGACAAAACAATCATTTCAAACTATTTAAAATGTCAATAAAAGTCAATATGTTAAAACACTTTATATTATAAATCTTATATGCTGATATGGTGCCTTAATAAATTATTATTATTGTTTATAAGTAGTTTTTAGTCAAACAGTTCATTCTGGACAATTAATTTTGCTATGGTGACAGGAAAACAAATGAAATAGTTGAAGAATCTGCTAAATACTTTTATGGAAACCATCATCATCTGCTAAACAGAAAGTTTATTTGAAATCTAAATCTTTTCTACTGCAACTTTTGATTCATTTAATGCATCTTTGGTGAACAAAATGATAATTTCTTTAAGAAACAGTTATACTTATAATTTTTTATCTACTCTTTTCAGTGTCCGATAGATAGAGAGATGATAGTAAGACAAACTCCTCAATATTAAGACAGCATTTTGACATCTCAGTGCTATTATCAAGAGGTGACTTACTCTGCAGTGCTGAATGCCAGCTCAAAGTTGTGTTTGCGCTCGGCAGGGGTCAGACCATTATAGTCAAACTCTGTGGGGAAGAAAGAGTGGACGAGGGCACAGAACGCCATGCCGTCACTCCAGCTGGAGGAAAAGTTCTGAATGTCGATGTTCTGCAAGAGAGAGCCAAGCGGTTATATTTCACATCACACTGGGCATTTGCACCAAATCATTCAACACAGTTAGATTCACCCAAATGTACTTTAGGATAAGTGTTCTTGCTTACGTCAAGTTGTGACTTTTATAGATCATATATCATGGTTATTAATCAGTGTTGGGTAAAAAGTAATATATTACAATTTTATGTGTACCTTATCTCTTTAAAAAAAGTAAAAAATGCAAATTGAAAAAAAAAAATAACAGCACATTTATATTCACATTGCGTCCTTAAAAAGTAACTAACACATTTAGTTGTTTGTTTTTAAAGTGACTACAGATTGTAATATATTACTTTTTTCTTAACACTGTTATTAATATACATTTCATTTTGTTGTAAAATTAAATCTATATGAAATCAATAAATAAGAAATATACATTAACTGAAATAAAATATATATTTTTAGCTTTAATATTACTAATTTTCCAGCTGGTTTAAAAGCATTTTTTCTCATTTCAGTTTGGTTTAATTTAATCTACCACAATAGCATAAAAATGACCTAGATAAACTGTATATAAAAAAATTAAATAAATAAAAAAACACAATAAAATGACAATAAATTTAACCAAAATTAAAATGGCAGACATATTACACTGAAACAAAACGTCATACAAAATCTACAGACATTAAAAAAATAAAAAAAAACAGCATAACAAATACTAATGAATACACCAAAACTTAAAATAAAAAGTAATCACGAATAAATGAATGCACATGATAAATATATAGATGAATACTGTATGCATATCTTTGTATTTATATACACACTGAAATTTAAAGTAAAATAATATAAAATAAAAATATTCCTAAAAAATAATCGCTGCTAATTAATAACCAAAATGACAATTTCAATTACACACACATTAATTCTTGTCAATTGAAGAATAAATCCTAAAACCTAAGGCCATAATAAATAAGAATAACAATAGATATGAAAAAGTATTATCTTCTGGCATTCAAGCAACAAAACAATAATAGCTTCCTCTGAGACTCTGCAGACCTGCTTGTGCTTGTCAGTGCAGTGTTTTATTGTTGTCTGTCTCTTATCATCAATGCTGGGTTTTTCTCTACACCTCATCATTTAACAGTGTTCAGTTCTCATCCATAGTCGGCTGATCTGACAGACTAAGGCAGTCTGTGTCATTGAAGGAAATTGAAATGGTCATGCGTGTTGTCAACTGTCTGCTCTGCTTCTAATGTTTACGTACTGCTTTCTCTCGACTCTAAATTGGGCTTGACCATTACATTACTATCTCTAACTAGAGCCACATGGGCTGCTTTCGCAAAGCAGCATTAGAGTGAAGCAGAATACACACACAGAGGAAGACTAATAACACACACTATATGTTTATTCATCTGGACAATGTTAACATAATGTTTGTTCATCTTATCGATGTTAAAGGTGCCATGACATGGTTTATTTCTTCTTCTATATTTTTCTTATATGTTCATTTAGGTCAACTTATTAATAAATCAAGTATTTTGTACACACAAAAAAACTAATATACATTCAGAAAAACTATGATTTTCAGTGCTGACCCTCTTGATAAAAAGACTTGTTATTAATGGACAGGTCGTTTAAATATTTTTAATATATGGTCAATGTTTTGATTGGCTAATGTGATTGTATTGTAAACAGCATTATTGTCACCACACTAATTGCTCAGTGTTGTATTGCAGAAAGTGTTTTGCCAAAATGATCTATGGAAATTTTAATTTACAGACAAAGCATTATGAAATGAACAACTTTTTGTAGTAACCTTATGCATCACAAGTACAATAGTACATACCTATCAACTTTGGGATGTTAAAATTAGGGTTACAGCCTACTACCCCCCTGTAAAGTGAATGCACTGTAGAAATTGTTTTATCTAGAAACTGCAGTCAAATGTATGTTTAAGTATGTTTTTGCAGTTTTATAAAAATGCTGACTCTGAAGCAATGAGCCTTTGTTGAAGCTTTAAAACTTGCAGGACGTTTTAATGGAACAAAACCCTCTTTTAGGTCAAAATATCAAAGTAAATTTGATTTCTTGTTGCTGAAGCTAATACAATTCTATTGTGATGACACCTCTCAGCGAGATATATTATGGAATGAATGTGTATATGGCAGTGTTGATGTGTTTAGTCTTGGTGACATAGATCTGCTACCCCTGAAAAAGCACAGGAGATTGCTAGTGCAATCAACACTACAGTATTCAAATGTTAATGAGCAAGCTTATTGGCTGCTGAGGTGGGAGCAAGCAATCTCTCGCTCTCTGTAGTTGATGATTGGGTTGGAAACAGATTGGTATCAACCTGTGTGCCCTTTGTATTATTACTTTACAGGAAGCGCTATTATGCGTGATAATCGTCATTCATATCAGCCTGAAATGTTATTAAATCATATGTGTGCAAGGCTCCTTCTTTCTGCTGGTTTGTCATAAAACCTATGATGTCTAGAGAATGTCATACCTGGTACCCAATGGTCTTGGATCGACACCATTCCAGTAGAATCTGCTTGATACTGCTAGCACTGGATACGCCAAAGCTCTGAGAGCGTTTCAGCTTTGGTTTGGAATCCACTGGCTTGGGCCGACTGAGATGTGGAAGATCAAAGCAAGAGGGTTTTATTTTTGCTCTGGATTACATTACAGAGCATTAAAAACAATCACATGTTTGAATTGACACACACTGGATGATTTCATTACCTGTTGTTCTCAGAGTCCAGCCTCTCAAAAATAGACCTTCGTGCCTGGGCTCCTATATTTCGAGGTAAAGTCTGGGACCTCACAAGTTCTCGTCTTCGCTCAATACCTCTGCCGAAGGATAAATCACCTGGCGTATCCACATTCCTGGAACAAGGAGATAGAGATGGCTGAGGAACAGTTCACTTCTGTGCTATTTTAATTCATTCATCCATTTTCCTTTGGCTTAGCCTCTATTTCAGAGGTTGCCACAGCAGAATGAACCACCAACAATTCCAGCACGTTTTATACAGCAGATGCCATTCCAGCCGCAACCCAGTATTGGTAAACACCCATAACATACTCATTCACAAATATACACTAAAGCTATTTTACCTATACCGCAAGTCTTTGGACTGTGAAGGAAACTGGAGCCCTCAAAGGAAACCCACACGATCATGGGGAGAACCTGCAAACTCCACACAGAAATACCAACTGACCCAGCCGGGACCTGAACCAGCAACTTTCTTGCTGTGAGGCAACAGTGCTAACCACTGAGCCAATGTGCTGCTCTCAGTGCTGTTTTTTTAAATAGTATATTTTATAAAGAAGCTTGAAATATCTAAGCAACATTTACATTTAGCAGACATTTTCATCCAAATGACTTACTTAGCACTTCAGATCACCACAGAGAAGCAATATATAAATTCGATGAAAAGTCTAAGTTAGTTTTTTCCCCTCCTCTTTGCACATTAAAAGAAAAGATTGGTCCTACAGTTGGTTTTTCAAGTCCACTCACCTACTTGAAGCACACTCAGATTTTCTCAATGTTTACCACGGATCATGCTGTGTCTGGTGCATATGGAGAGTATGAACATGTATCAAATTATTAGCAAACATCCCAGCATCACCATGCTCCTGTGAGCAGTGTTTAGATGAATATTTAAATATATCCTGCACATTTTCATCTTAAAAAAGTAAATATATATATGATGTGGAGAATATAATGAGTGGAGAAAACGGCAGTTAAAAAAGCATCTCATCATAGCAATGTGGACGATTTCAGAGGCACTATATTTCAGCAACTCCAGTCAAGTAAAGTCAATCCCATGTACAAAGCAAGTTGCTTTACATGATAAACCACAAAAAAATCACTTTTAATTAATTACACTTCAGTTTCAAAAGCAGCTTTTCATTGTTAAAGATTTTACTTCTGACCTTGCCTGATTGAAGTGAGTTACTGAACTATAGAAAACGTCAGTGCTAAAGAGGGCGGAGGTCAGGGACTCACCCACTTATTACATCCTTACAACGGACCTTTGGCAAGCTATTTTAGGGTGCTTTCACACTTGGTTCAATTGCTTGGACCGAACCCAAGTTTGATTATCTCTCTGTCCCACCTTCTCAGATGGTTTGTGTTCATCTTTTTTTCTTTTGAACCTTGGTACACTTGCATCATCAAGCTGCTGTTTTGGGTACAGCTGTTTCTAAGTGATGGCCACGAAAGCAAGGTGCCAAAACGGAGACGTACACATATCACGGTCATTCTGCTGTTATTGAATCTTATAATAATCTTTAAAAAATACAGAGAGCCAGTTCCATCTATCTGCCGAAAAAAAACAAAACAAAACAAAACAAAACAAAACATTATAAACATTCAGAACATCACACGATGTCTGCAGAAGTAGTTTTTTGGTGGAGACAAGCAGACATTATCACTGTTTGCAGTGGGTCAGTCCCGCTTTTCACCAAGGTTGGTGATACACAGACATACACACACGAATGATTGTTATGAAAATGAAAGTTTGTTGTACAGTTGGCGGTTCACTTCCGTTACCTGGTATGACTGCATTCAGATCAGAATTGAACCATACCCCTGACCACCTCTTTCAGGCAGACTTGGGTATGGTTCACTGGTGCACACCCGAGTTCAGAAAACATGTTCACACTAGCTTAATGTTCTGTACTTTGACATCAAACAAACCTTGGTGCAGACCAAAAGTGCTAGAGTGAAAGCACCCTTAAAGTCCAAATAACGTTGTTTTGTCCTAATTTTGTTTGCAATTACTTTACACACTCTTCAAGTATATTATGTCCTTAATGCTAACAAATCAAAGATATTGTAAAGTAAGTGAGTGAACTGTGGAAACTTTTATTTAGATGCAAGTAAGGATATTCACACTGGGCTCACCTATCTGTATTGTGTGGGAAAAGTCCAGAGTAAGTCACTGACTTGGCTGGAGCCGAAGATGCTTTTTCTATAAGACAAACAGTGAGACATAATTTATAATAAAATCTCCTAATGTGTATAATATGAGTGACAGAGATTAGCTGAATTCTTCCTACCAGTAAGCCGTGGAGAACCCATGGTCCTGGCAGGAGTCGGAGCCCATGTTTTCACAGATGATACTGTAACCACAAGACCAACACACACATCTCAAGTAGATGACAGTAAATATGGTCATCTGTAGACTAATTCTCTGAAAGACCTATACCTGCATGAACAGGAGACTCTAGTTGAGGCTGGTTATCACTGGTGACCGGTGGACTGTTTGTCAGTGAGTCTGTAATGGCAGAAGGCGTTGCTTGCATTGGGCTACTGGGCGACTCAGGACTCTTCATAACTGTAGAGTCAGCTACTTTGGTGGTTGCTGTGATAGGCAGGTGTGGCATTGCCATGGGAACAGGGGCTGAGTGTTCGTGTAACACACCATTGGGTGGCGAGTTTCTCCTCAAAGGCACGATAGAGTTTTCTGATTGGATAAAAGATAGATTGTGGTAAATATGATAACAATAGAAAAGTTGTTTCCACATGTTACTTTCAAATTAAAGTGATTGGAAATGAAAGTGAAAGTGGATAAACTTAAAATGTTTTTGGTCCTGTTTACATTAGTATTTAGCATGGTCCATATGAAAATATATTGAAGAAGACGGCCCATAGAGTTCTGCTTATTATAAGTGCTGCAGTTTTGTTATAATTAAATGGTGGCTTCTAATTGGCTACTGATATTCTAATTGTTTTTCAGCAGGAAAATATCATTTTAAAAGTGATTGTGTCACGTCTGGCGTAAAGCAGGGAATAATTAAAGGTGCGGATCCAGATGCAGCCAAACAAACATTTATTTAAACAAACTTAAACAAAGCAAAGCAACAGAGAAATGCAGACATCATAGGAGCCACAAAAAACTAATGACAACGAAGTGCTAACAGAACAGGGTATAAATACACAAGGAAACAATTAACTAAACAAGCTGACAAGAGGGTGAAGACAATTAACTCAAAGGCTAACAAGATTAGGGGTAAACTAAGGTGAGCAGGAAGTGACATGAAAACACAGAACTTGTTAGTATTGTTATAGTTGTAATTACTGCAGTCTTATATAATTTGAATGATTGTGTATGTTGTTGAAAGTATATTGATTGTTGTGTAACATATCTACATACACATCTCAAATAACTTTTTACTCACATTTTAATTATCTACAAAATTGTCATCACATGTGTAGAGAGGAATTTATGCTTTCATATGGAAACTGGGTCCTCAAATCTTCAGTCCCAATGTTAATTAAATTGGGCAAATTGCGTTTCTTGCATCATAATTAGCCTTAAAGTTGGCAACACTTTATTTTAATGGTCCGTTTGGTGAATTTAAGTTGCATTGCATTTACATGCCAACTAATTCTTATTAGATTATAAGTAGGCTGTTAGGTTGGGGTTAGGTTTAGGGTTAGTGTAAGTTGACACATACTTGCAAAGTTTCTTATAGTCAGTTAAATGTCTTTTGAAGGAGCAGTATCAACAGATATTCAGTGCTTTGGAAAAGATTTGAGATTTGAACAGCTCTTAAAATAGATGACAACCTCTGTGCCCTCATTTAACTAGGGAGCTGATTGTAATGACGCACACACCCCATGAGTGGTGTCAAGAAGAAATTATGGTAATACCTGTTGATGATAAGTGCCCATTCTCCAAACCTTGGGGAATTGGTGCTGGATCCACTTCAATGGGCTCATCTCGCTCAATGCTCTGTTAGAAAAAAAAGAAGTAAAAATTTCTGTTAGTCCTTCAAAGAACTGTTATATGTGAAGGATTCTGTCAAAAAACAATTCTGAAAATATGGCTGGATCCATCTGCTCCTAATCTATCCTGGAAGCTCTATCTACTAGACATTATTAGTTTCGAATACACCACAGCTAAAATAAATGGTGCCACTAAACAAACTGTACAAATTTGATTAAACATGAGACCGTATTAGATATGTTTCAATCCTGATTTTATACCTGTTATTGTAGTATTACTGTTTTTATTTCATTTAACTTTTTTGTTGGGTAGATCTTGGGCTATTATTGCTATGAGCTATTATATGGCCAAAAATAATTTTGGATAAATAAATTTGGCTGGATTTTGATTTTACATTTGGATTTAAAGACACTCTAAATGTAAACTCTTATAAGCATAAGAAAAACATCACAATCTAAAATCAAGTGTGGGCCTGTTGATCCAAGGCCAGTGTTGGCCAGGAAAGGGCATTCTTGGGACTAGGTAAGGACTGCCCATGCAGGCCAATACTAATGGACCAACATTAAACCAATAATAAAATTGTTGCTGGAAGTCTGCTCTGGGCCTAATTGGGCTATCCCACTGTAGGCCTTCATGGGATTAATAATGTGGGCTAGTGTGGGGTACTCACATAGAGCCCAAAGTGAGCCCGCAGCTATGGGTCATACCTAGATTATCCCACACTGGGCTTGTTTAGATTTGTTTTGGATTTACCGTAGCCCACGGTGCCTGCAAAAAGCCAACATGGGCCATGCATGAGTATGTTTACTGGGAATATATCAACCCTTGATGCTCTTAAAAACAAACATCTACTACAAGCGGCCAAAACAAGGTAAGGAACACGAGACAACTAATTTAATTATTCAATCAGAGACATCAAAAGAGACAAAATGGTTCCGCAGGACACATTCTGCTCAAGTAAATGACTGATGTAATCTAATCAAAGACATCTGATTAATTGCTTCACTGTGAAATCCCTATGAATGCCAGTTTCAAGAATCCTAATCTTTTTACAACATAAATGAAAGTTCTGGATCAGGGCCAAAGTGGGTCAACAATACGGATATGTCTTCATCACTGATCTATCTATTTTCATTTTTAATAGCCACTTCTACCCTCATTGCACTCTTCTTTGTGACCGAAATGCAAGATCACATGTTGATATATTAGTGCCTTTAAGTTACACACTGACACATACGGGTCTCTGCCTTGCTTCATTTCCTGTAGACCTCAACCATCACATAGATGTACAGATACAGATGTTTGGCCTTGGCTGCAATGAGCTCATCATTATAAAAGCAGACTTGTAGTTTAACGCCTGGAAGCCAACCAGAAGAATGACTGTGCACATTTACTCGACTCTTCTGCTGTCATTAATTACCTGGCAGCTTATCAATGGGCTTTAAAAAGCTCCATTGTGTGTGGGCCGAATCTCTCTAGGACATGAATGCTAATGTGCTAAGCTAACAAATGTATCTTCATGCACAGGCAACATGGACAATCAGGAAAACATTGCATTTTTAAATCACTAAATCGCTTCCTCGAGAGATTTGAGAAGTAATTGGCATGGAGGAGGCCAATGACATCATATCTAAGGAATGCTGAAGGGGGAGCAGCTGCCTGTCCCATTGAGAGAAAAAGATAGGGGGAGAAAAAATTCACCCCAGCCATGAAACGTATCCAACTCTGATTTGCTGGCTAAACACGCAGGTTCTCAACTCATTCCAGTGATATGTTGGTGCACTGCGAATGTCTACCACTGGACTGTGTTATGCGTCAGTCTCTCTAGGGGATATCAGCAGACACGTGACTGCTTTGAGATAGACAATCTGTATTATATTGTTTTCTTGCACAGCCTGATTTTGGAAAAACATTGCCTGCAGCCACCAGGGCTTGTATCTGAAATTCCTCCCAAATGCATTAGTTCAAACACTATTTTGGCACAGAGGTCACCTGCTGCTTGGCCCCCGGGCTAAATTAAGAGGTGCAGGGGGGGGAATCTAACCACACCCATCTCACATGTTCACTGAACCGCATGCACTCACCCCAGTTGATCTTTTTTTTTCCTGCAGGAACAACACATTCCCTATCCCAGAGACTGCGTCATTGCATTAATAGAGAGGAGCAATAAAACAAGTGCAGGAAATAGGGAGCTGAGACAGAACATGTGGGAAAGGGCTGTAGTCTACAGCTAAAAACACATGATAATTGATTAATCTGTCAAACCAAATTGTGATTCAATGAATCATAAATATGATATTGAACATTTTGTATGCCGATGTTAGTCCCATTAATTTAGTGCAGTACAGACATGTAAACACCCTAATCAAACTATTATCGTCTTGTAGGATGGCGCAATGACTTTAATCAAATTATGTGCTATAACATGTAAAATGGCATCATGAAAGGGAATTCAAAAAGCAACTCATGTAAGTTACTCATGTAACTCATGTAATCATCAGATGAATCCAAACGCACAATAATATCCAGATTTCCTTACCTTAGTCATCTTCGCCTTAAAGAACCCCCCATCCACCCCTACTCATCCCCTCTTTCCTAGCCTAATCCAGGACAGGACGGCATGGTGGCTCAGTGGCTAGCACTGTTGCTTCACAGCAAGTACACCTCTGGTTTGAGTCCTGGATGGGCCAGTTTTTGTTTTTGTATTGAGTTCACATGTTCTTCCCATGCATGCGTGGGTTACCCCCGGGTTCTCCGGTTTCCTCCCACAGTCCAAAGTCATGCAGTATAAGTGAATTGAATAAACCAAATTGTCACAATATATGAGTGTTTTAGTACTGGGCATTTACCGCATGACCATATACTGGTGTGGTTGGTGGTTCGTTCTGCCGTGGCGACCCCTGGTGGTCAAGGAATAGGCTGAGCAAAAAAATTTGGGGACGCACTTGAGACCTACCTGAGCTCGGACTCCCCTCTCTACCGATGAAAAAGGAGGGAGCCCTAGGCTCAAGGATCTTACCCCGCTGGACAGCATGCCAAATATGTTGTATTATAAACCATCAGCTAAGTGTGATCTCTTGAAATGTACAAACTGGATGCATTGAAAAGGATTGTCTCAAGGAAATAATTCACTCATAAATTGAACATGTTCAACGGGTCTCAGATCAACTGTTGCAAAAGAATCAGTTGAATTTATGGATGAAGGAATGAAATCTATTTGTGAACTGGTTAAACTGATTCGTTGAAAGGAATAACATTCACAAATCAGGCATTGAGACCAGGTCTCGGACCAATTATTAAATCACCAACTTGATAACTGATGCAATGTGATTCACAAAAAAGGTTTAGTTTATGATTATCACATTGATTTGATTCCTTGACAACTCACTGAATCTTCTAACATTGATGATCGAGAATGAATCTTTCGATGCTATTGCTGTAAACTGGTTCAACAAGTTCATTGAAAAGACTATTTTCATAATCAATTATCATCAACACAACCATTTAGTTCTTCAGCCCAAGTCCCCTATCCACACAAAAGAGATGGGGAAAAGTACTACACAGTCCATCCTTTTGTCCTGAGGGAGGGCCACACTTCTCCTGTACACGCTGTTCCTTCATACCGAGGACACTCAAAGACAATGAGAGTGGAGAGAAGAGCAGCGTCGCCTCTCCAACTATTCACAACAGACCACCAGACGACTGAATGAAGCCCCTTCAGAGACACAGTAATCACTCCTGCAGGTGAGAAGACAAGAAAGGCCCTTGAGGAGTCCTCAGTCTATTCAGTCTGTCCTACAACAGGCATATATAAATGCCGAATGCCTCCAAATGCATTTACTATGTACAGTCCGCTCAGACAATGGACTCCACTCACAGAAAACCTTTCATGTGAGTCTAAATGTCCCTCTACAGCAAAATAAGAATTTCCCCAGTGCGCTGGCAGCCTGCCTGAGCAATGCTGGGGTGCATATAAAAATATTTTTTTCCGAGGATAATCACAAGGTTGTATTGTACATAATCTCTGAGTGATTTGACGGTGAGTGAAATTGGAGCGTGGCGGCTTGAGCATTGTTGAGAGCTGCTCCGTATATGATCAGAGAGATGAATGCAAGTTTTGATAAATCGCTATGTGTGCACGTCTGATTTTAAACATATCTGAGGGGATATTCTTGTCTCTCAGTGACATTTGAGATTCTTGGAACATTGTGGTGGCGGGGGATTGGAATGGAACCCAAGCAACAATAGAGGGCATGTTTGTGGGAGAACTCTAGAGGGTTTGGTGGGCTAATTCCAGCTCCTGTCTCTCAAATCATACAGATAGCCAGCTCTTACAAGGCCCTCTCTGATATTAATAAGCCACGCTGATAATGTTATTTATATTCTGCAATGTACAAATAGCTGAGCTCTCTTTGGAAGCAAGAGGGTTGGCTTGAATGTGTTGTTTGAAAAGCAAATTAGTCTTTTGTGACTGAAACGTTTGCCCCCCAATTTGGCCGACAATAATATAAGGGTTATTTTCCTGCTGTTTGAAAGTCTGTAAAGTTGGTACAGACAAGGAAGGGATGCCTGGTTTGTGAGGGTCTTTGCTCTGTAATTTCCTTCACAAACTCGAGAGTTATAGTGAAAGAGGCCCAAACACCTGTTTTTAAAAGCACGGCAAAGCCTGCAATTTCTCAGAAGCAGGATTGGAAAGAAAACCTGTGCAGATAAACAGAGTGAACTACAAAAATTCCTCCTGATTTCTCAGGGAGTTGGGTGTGCTTCGTTTTCACTCCAACATACAGTACTCACAAATGTACACTGTAAAATAGCTTATGAATGATGTCCTCCAGGCCATATAAATTCAAGCCCTGGAACTGACCCTCTGATTTAATTTCGATGTTATAACCTAATGCAGTCAAGTTGATTCAGTCATATTACATTTAAGGTAAAGTCGAGTCTGACATTATTATGAATTATTAGGAGTGTACATGCTCGAGCTCACAGGATCAGATTACTCCAAATTCCTGG